AAAAGTGGATACGCTCTATCCAGCGGTTCACAATGGCGTCTGTTTACAAATCCGACGCAGGGATCTTGTTCTAGAAGTTACGCAGGTAATTAGAGCTGTCAAATTGGCTGACAAATCTGTCACTTTCAGATTAATCTGTGATGGAGTTAGCCGGCCCGTTAGCGGTAATGACAAATAGCCGTATAAAGGAGAAATAAAATCCCAGATTAATAACAGAACGGACTGGAAGACCCGGGACCCTTTCCAGGTCCAGCAAATTATGTAATGTTGCTGTGACATAGACATGAGGTAGACTAGACGTTACGTATGTCGTGACATGGTTTAGAATGCAGCTCGAGAGACATCAGTGGAAGGCTGCCAGCCAGTGCCCGCATCCCTGGCGTTCCCTGTGGCCCTCCCCACAGCCCGGCTTGGCCAGGAAACTCGGCTGTGTATATAAGATAATTTTACCACTGATTTTGGCTTATTTGGCGCCTGGGAGGATTGATAGCAAAGGACAGAGCCCTAGCATAGACTAAATACTTTGTCTTTTGTGTGTGATGACAGCAAATTTTTCTACCAGTATGTAGTTGTGCAAATTGCTTCTACAAAATATTTGGTATAGGACCAATTTAATATAGTAAGTTTTAATATTGATTGCCATAAAGAACACATGAAAAAATGTTTGGGTTAGAGAAGATATTTGTCAAAGAATAAATAGAAGGCCACAATCTCATATCTCATAGAATTCACACAGCTGAGCTAGCCCAGAGCCATGGCTTTCGTGTATTGTGCTCTGGGGTTAATCTTTAAGGTGTGGACACACTAAGCTTGTGCAAATTGGATGTGCTGTGGTTGTAGAGGACAATATATTACATTCATCCTCTTGGTGTACCAGACTGTAGAGTTTGGTCTGCGGGGAATGTGTTCGCCACGCAAAAATTATTTGGTCAATTTCTATCAGCGCAAATGTAGTTCTCGGGTAATTTTCCGCGCATGCTTAGTTCTTTTTTAAATCATCTTCGCACGTAAAATTCTTTTGACTTTTTCGCGCACTTGTTTCATCTTCTGTTCGCGGATCCGTCCACGCAAATGTAGACAAAAGGATGTTTTCTGAGTATGATAAAATGAAATATTCCCCGCATAAGAAAAATACTCTACAATCTGGTTGGTGTTACTGAGTTTCTCACCTTTTTCCTCTGGCTGCACATTGAGGTGAAGACAATGTTTCTTGGTGGGAATTGATGGGCAGAGCCCCCATCAACCCTCCCCTTGGGCACTACCCAAAGGGCATGCCTAGTCATGGCAACTTGGATTTTGATGTAATTTTGTGATGTGGAGATGGGGCTAGTGCATCAACACTGTAAAGAATTACCTGCTCTGGCAAGGAAAGTCTGACTGGGAGTCCTTAAAAATACTTTCTTTTTTTTATATGAATTCTATAGTTTTTCATACTTTTGATACTGGTGATGTGCTGAATGTGAATCCTGGGGGATGAATTAAAAGCAGATGATAAAGTAAGCCTGATGCTCAGATTTTGGTCCACGTGTACTATTTGGGGCCTGACTCCAATGGGTTATGTACTATGAAACACATATTTCATTTACCAGTAAATATTAGAAATGTTCTAGGCTCTTGTTTTATAATATATGTTTTTCTTTGGAAAAAGATTTATATGTTGTGTTCTTTTTATGTGAGTAGAAATCACAATGTCTATATATCTTTTATTGCCCCCTACGTAAATGATTATCAAAGTACTTTATAAAATAAACCACATATAATTTTCTCATTTATTGTTTGTATTTTGTACAGTAGTCTGAAGAATGCAATAATTAATTGATAATAATGAGTGTGGTGAAAAGTCTTTTATATTTTTTTTTTGACACTTTCTTTGAAAATTTTAAAAGGTGTAAAACCTGAAGATGAAATCTTAAAGGATTTCAAAATTTAATTTCACAATAGATTTCTTTTGTATAGAGTGGTTCTACCAGGAAGTTAAAAACTAACAACATATTTTGGGTAAAATACAATTCTTGCAACTGATATGTCCTTTTGTTGAAATTTGTAAGAACCAAGTTCTGGAATTCTCTGGCACACTTGAAGGCAGTACAGAACTTGGTACTATACTCAGTTTTTCAACTGAGGTGAAGATGCACTTGACATGTTAGTAATGATTGATTTCAGTTTGGCAGATTTGTGATTGGGTAATTGTTTATGAAGTGATCATGCCCCTGTGAAACTAAAGTCATTATTCCAGCCAACAACTTTGGGGGCACTCCTAGGAATTCACAAACATCACTGTATGAACCAAAATACCTGTTATGGGGGCTTTACCTGCAGACCCCTTCCTGATCAGCTTATCTCCCTACTTGGGCTCTGATCCTAGGCTCCCACCCAGTTACCACAGACTGTCTCTGCTTGGCATTTGTTACGACCTATTTCTTAATCTGATGTTATCTTTTGCCTGTGCAGGTTGTTTTATATGTCAGTGAATGTATTTTTTTCCTCTTTTAACCCCTATGATCCGAGTGATGTGACCATGATATCATAAAAACTTTTGCTTGACGGGTGAGTGATGTGAACATGGTGTTATGGGAAAATTTGGCTAGAGGGGTGGCTGATGTAAACATGCTGCCATGGGTGGCACAAACTTGCTGTTGTGAGCTGTTCGGATGAAGGTTGTGGTGACGGAAGACTTGCCACTGTGCACAGACTGCAGGGAGGGTGATGAGATTCATTTGGCTTTTAGGAATGGGCTTTTGCTTTATTTCCATCTATAAATGTATGTGGAACATAATGTTTCAGAATCATGACTGGAAGAGTGCCAGCTTCAGGGAAGATGCTATTTTTATGCTTAGGAGCCTATTCTTGCCTACTGTGACTGACATCACAGGCTAAATTACAGAAAATAGATTATTAAAAAGTAAAAAGATGAGATAAGTAATTAAATGTTACATATTATTATTATTGCATTGAGTTTTAAATTCCATAGAAAGATGGTTTGGAGTCTGTGCAAGGAAAACAGTCTATATCCATCTGGATAAAGTAAATCTAATGACAAGTATAGGCATTGGAAAATGTCATGAAAGCTAAAAGTGCTTATGTAGAAAGAGAAAATAACATTGCAGAGGAGAGGCATTGAGTCTTGTCAATGCACACGTTTGTTTGTACCCAGCTTAAAAGCCACACACCCAGTAAAGTGTCAGCTCATGTAAGAATAATTGCTGTATTTTGGGCCACATAATGGCAGTGAAGCATCAGGATCCAATGGGTTAATGACATTGTGCTTAGATTTTCCTTAACTTTGTATGATTGTCATATGAATGTATTCTGCTGTTTGTAATAATATTGATAATTGACAACAGGTTGATGATAAGCATTTGATATTGACATGTTGGTGATCATGGAAGACGATGATGATAATTATTTGATGATTGTTAGGTTGGTAATGATAACTGTTTTATAACTCAGAGTAAGTGATGATGATTATTTGAAATATAAAGATTATAAAGATTTAGTTTACATTGCATTCATTCAGTTACCACCAACCACAAATGCTTCTTTGTCTCAATAAAAGAAAGAAAGAAGGAAAAAAAGAAAAAAATTAGTTGAAGTTGGTCATTGTACCCCTTGCTATGTCTTTTGAAGGAATTGACATAGTGTTCTATATGTTTCTAATCTGATATATTTATTTGTATTTATATTGCTTCCTGTGGCGTCAAAGCAAAATGACTTGATACTTAATATATTTTTAGATCGTATTTAGGTTAAACTTACTCTCTTGCAATACAAGTTATATACCTCATTTGCATTGCAAATTTTTTGATTTGTCAGCTGCAGATATTTGATGATTTTGCAGAATCTTTGTTTGTGGATTTTTAGTTTGGTGCAGCAATATGGAAGCATGAGCCTCAGTGCTAGTTGTAACAGACTGGTGTCAGAAGTGGTCTGGTTTTCTCTGAAAAGATTGAAAAAGGTTTGTTAAGGAGTTATTGTTGTGCTTGACAGTTATCCTATGTAAATTCTTTTATCTTTCGTAAATGCTGCATTGATGTGTCAGTTTTTAAGTTTGTATTCAATCAGTAACCAATTAGGATTTTCCTTAATAACTTTTCAAGGATCTTTTTATTGAAAACTTGAATATCTAATTTCGTATAATGTTTGATATCTTGGTATATTGTCCACATTTCCATTACAAGGTGCTGGCAAACATTTATGAGAAGCTAAAAACTTATGTTTTCATAAATCAAAGTTTAAAACAGTTTTCTAAAGCCTCTTATTTTTATTATTGTCACTCATATAGTGTAATAAGGGTTTGAGTATTCTGTCAAATTTGCAGGAAAATTTATTTCATTTTTTTGTGTTTCGTGATAAGTGAATCACCTGGGGTGCATAATTGAAAATTGTGTATTCAATTTTGCCTTTAATTTCCTGCACACTTCTCTTTAATACACCTATTCATCTATTAGTGAGCATGCACAGAACACTATTGACGAGCTTAAGGGCTTTAGATAAAACAGAACTTACATATGGTATTGCAAAATAAAAGCTGTTTTATTACCTGATCCCTTTTTGGGTGAATTATTAACATTTTCCTTAGAGGAAGGAAAATGAAATTAGATATTAATGCTTTACTGAAGGGAATGGCTGTAGCCATTATGAGAAATATTGACTATTTGCCGGGTATGGCTCTAGCTGTCGTGACACACTCTTGCGCTGGTGCATTAGAGCTTGCCATGATGAGCTTTCTTTGCTGGCCACGCACAGCAAAGATCGTGCAAATTGATCCAACAGCAAATTGCTCTACAGTTAATTTTTGGCCCAAAGTTATTGGATTAAAAAGGATATTCAGATAGTGTCAAAAGAAATGAATGCAGAGACATTATATATATATATATATATTATATATATATATATATATATATATTATATATATATATATATAGATATATTTATATATGTTTATATATATTTATATATATTTATGTATATTTATATATGTATATATATATATATATATGTATATTTATATATATTTATATATATTTATGTATATTTATATATATTTATAAATATTTTATATATATTTATATATATCTATGTATATATAATTTATATAAATTTATATATATCTATGTATATTTGTATATTTATATATATTAATATAAATTTGTATTCATTTATATATATTTACACACACACACACACACACACACACACACACACACACACACACACACACACACACACACACACACACACACACACACACACACACACACACACACACACACACACACACACACACACATACACACACACATACACACACTATACATACATGCTATAGATACACACATACACACACACCCACACACACCCACACACGCACACGCACACACGTGCACACACACACACACACACACACACACACACACACACACACACACACACCACACACACACACACACACACACACACACACACACACACACACACACACACACACACTTTGGTAGGAAATTATTAGATTAGAATTAGTATATGTTTTCATGTTTTACATTACAGATTTATATATATTTTTTATTATTATTATTTTTTACAAACTTTGAACTTTTTATGAACAGTTCTCTAAGAAACTGTGAAAGGCATGTTTTTTTGTCCGCAGGAGTGAAGAAACATGTCCAACATCCACGTGGGTCTGCCGTACCCCGGGGGTGTGGTGGATCACTCAAGTAATCTGGCTCATGACATTGGTGCTCTGTACCTCAACGACGAGTACAGTGACGTAACCCTGCAAGTTAATGGGCAGACTTTTCATGCACACAAGGTCATATTGGCAGCCCGCAGCCAGTACTTCAGGTTTGTAGACTGAGTAAAAAAAATAATTCCCATTATTTTTATTATGTGAATAAAGGAACTGTATGATTTTCAAGTGAAGGATCAAATACAATTTTACAATTTTACAGAGCTCTCCTGTTTGGTGGTCTTCGTGAATCTCATCAGACTGAAGTAGAGATCAAAGACACAAATTTAACAGCTTTTAAAGTCTTGCTAAAGTACATATACACTGGTTGGGTGAGCCTCAACTCAGAGAAGGTAAGAAAAAACGATGAAAGGTAACTCCGTGGAATTTGGGATCACCATTTTAGATATTGGTTGAATACTGGCAGTCATAATGGATTATGGAAAATGAACTTGGAATTTTATGAACATGGAAGACATTACTAGTATGATTTTGCTAACATTCACTGTATTTGAGGGAATCAAAATGAATTTTTTAAAATTTTGTAAGAAGGTAGCAAAATCTCTTGGCTTTATTGTGGTACCATTAAAGTTCTTATAATAAATCATTTTTATAGGATTTGAAGTTACAAGTAAGATGACAAGAATTTGACTTTGATATAGCTCTGGTTGTTTCATTTATGCAAAGCAAGATGCTGGCAAATATATAAATGAAAAAATTGTTTCTTGTAATAAAAATTTAATTTGTTTACTAGAGTAACTGCATTTAAGAAGCCCTATAGGTAGAGGCTGGTTTTCCATTCGTATTCAGTTATCATTACTTTATTACGTCTTCATCCTCACTCATTTATGTTCCGTGAAGGATTTTGAATCTCTTGACTTGAGCATTAGAAACTAGTTCAGATATAGAATATGTAAAAAAAATTTGCTTAGGAATCAAGTATACAGTATAGGTGCAGGAATTGCATAGTTCTTGACAATATACTTATTATGAAGTTCAGTCACATCTGATTATGAGTTTGATGCTGATGATTGTTATTTAATTCTTTAAGTTGCCATTTTCTAGATCTTTAATGTTCAGCCCATTTTTGTTGGAACTGACTGTTTGGTCATGAGTATGGCCCTTGCTCTTAAATAGATAGAGAAAACTTCCCATCAGATTTTAAAAGCTGATGAGGTGACTCAGCTGTAAGGTGATCAAAGCAGCTTGGACTTCTGGAGTTATAAGCCAGTGCTCTCTTGAGGGGACTCTGACTAAGATTTAAAGATTTTGTTTCCTAGTATGTAAGAATTGGCTATGGTACTATATTACTCGTAATGAACACTTGTCATCTATAAGACTATGATTATATAATGAGGTTGATTCTTTGCATTTATACATCTATTTTCCATTTTTTCAGGAAGAAACTGTCTTAGATATCCTTGGGTTGGCTCACCAGTATGGCTTTGAGGATCTGGAATCTGCCATCTGTGACTACTTAAAAGACACACTTTGCATTCTCAACATTTGTGTGATATATGACATGGCTTCCCTTTACAATCTCTCAAACCTGAAGGCTGTATGTGAAGATTTCATGGACAAAAATGCACTATCCATTCTCAACCATGAGTCTTTCTATTCCCTTTCACCGGTAAGATGGTTTCAGATGTGCAAAAAAGCATTCAGTTGAACAAAGATTTATTTTTAGGGGGGGAGGGAATTTAAGATGAATGCAATTTCTAATTACTTGTGTGAATATTTACTCAGATAGTTGGAAAGTATACATTTGTATACTAATGGTTCCTGTTGAAGTTAGATATCAAGGAAGTTTGTTTGTATGTGTGATGAAATACAGATTATGCTTTATTTTGCATTAATTTTGTTATGAAATATGAATTTGATAATGAATATTTATTACATTATAACACATAATGTGTTGGAATTTTGTTAACTGAATTTGCTTTTCAGACTGCTCTAAAGGCAATTATAAGCCGTGATTCCTTCTGTGCTCTTGAAGTCCACATTTTCCAAGGAGTTCACGAGTGGGTGGAGCGGAACTCGGATCTCTCACAGGAACAGATACAAGACATTCTCTCTCAAATTCGTCTACCTCTTATCAGTCTCACAGTAAGTTGTCGAATTGTTTGAACAAAAGTAAAAAATGTCTGTGAAGTCTGTTAGTGCTTTATGAATGGAGTGGTTATTAGTTGTCTTTTCTTCCAAGATGCATAGAATTATATTGATTTTGCTTGAAGAAAGTTTGAAGAAAGGAAATAGTAAATATTGATGAGGGTATCTATTTGATGAAATATATCATTTTGTTATATTTACAATGCTTCTTTAAAATCTCCAGGATCTTCTGAATGTGGTCAGACCAACATCACTAATTTCACCAGACCAAATATTGGATGCAATAAAGGCAAAAAATGAATCCAGAGACATGGATCTTCAGTATCGTGGCTATCTTAGTAAGTACATTGATTATTAATTTGGAAATTATGCTGTTGAATATATCTTTTGCTTAGCATATTTATTACACAAGACTAAGTACAGAATTTAAAAGAAGATTAGTTCTGATTAGAAATATGTGGGAGGTATAATATAAAGTAGGTATTTTTATTTTGTAATAGCCAGATATATCTGGTTATATTTTCTAAGTACTCAACTTTCTGATGACGATTTCAGTGCCAGGGGAAAATGTAGCGGTACCAAGCAAAGGTGCTCAAGTACTCCAGGGGGAAATGCGTGCAAATCTGTTAGATGGCAACGTTTCTACATATGACTTGGACCGAGGTTTTACGAGACATCCCATTGATGATAACAATGGTCAGGGTATTTTGATTAAATTGGGAATGCAGTGTATTATCAACCACATGCGAATGATGCTCTGGGATAAAGACCAAAGGTGAGCTATGGAAATTTGGTTAATATCTAGCTTAACCCCTTAAATCTGGTTACACGGCAATCATATGATGAAAGTATGAGCAGTAGGTTATGTGACTGCTCTGCTGGGTGTTTGTCATGTAGTTCATTTGTGGTGACAAGAATCTTTTGCCTCCCCATTGCAAAGTAATTTTACATAAACATTTATAGCTTTCTTACCTTTTTCCAATGTAGTAAAAAAATGTAACATTTTGTTATTTGTGTTATATATTCTATTATTTTGTAATATTCAATTTTCTGTAATACATCTTGCACTGGTGGTCACAGTGGCTAACAGTACAATGCTGAGCATGAAAATGGCATCCTCCCTGGAGCCAGTGTTCTTCCAGTCATGGTGTATGGACATTACATTCCACATGTGTTTATTGATGTTAATAATACAAAAGCCTCTTTCTAAACACCATAGAGTCTAATAACCCTCCAAGAGGTTTGTGCACTAGTGGCAAGTCTTTTCTGTCACCCTGGCCTTTGCTCTAGACCTCAGGTTTGCATTATCCAGCCCATGGCCATTTTTACCAATGACATGGTCACCCCACTTGGCCCTCAAGTCATATTTTTTCATGATGTGATGGTCACATCAACTGGATTGAAGGGATTAAGCACATCATTAAGACATCTGTTGTATAGAACATGACTTGTGTAATATGATCAAAAGTCAGAGACATCAGTCCTAACTTCCTAAGTTTCTTATGCTTCATATAGTTGTATGTGTGTAAGGGATGTGTACTTATGTGTGTATGCTTATGTATACATGCAAACATACATGCCCCAGAATAAAAATAGACAATGTTTTGTCTTTGTATTGACACAGCTTTTCTTCTTTGGTAGAGGGTATTCATACTACATAGAGGTGTCAATGGACCAGAAGGACTGGGTTCGTGTGATTGATCACACCCGCTACCACTGCCGGTCTTGGCAGTATCTCTACTTCCCCGCAAGAGTAGTTCGATATATAAGAATTGTAGGCACCAACAACACTGTTAATCGTGTTTTCCATGTTGTCGCCTTTGAAGCCTATTATTCCAAACAAGAAGTTAAACTACACAAGGGATTGATTGGTAAGATCTCTTTTATCAATGAAAGTATGTATGCATATTGAATTCATCTTTGTATATTTATCATTAAAAAAATGCATTTCAAAGCACATGTATATACGTGTTGTATAAATTTTTGTGCATTTATTTTGTGTTTGCACAAGTGAAGAAAGCTAAAATTTAGGGCACAGGTAATTGAGGACCATGGATATCTAGCTGGGGGTTTAGATTTTATTATTGATATGTATGTATACTGAAATAGAATATTTAAATTACTCTATGCACAAACACAAACTAATTTGCCTGGACCTTGAACAAAGTTATTGATAATACTGAAAATGTCCACAAATCATCTATTTAATTGTATTTTTTTTTTTTTTTATTATTATTACAGTATTATTTTTTTTCAAATAGTTGCTGTAGTGTTAGAACAAAGCACAGTTTAATAATCTTGAGTAGTTTTTCTCTACTTGTTTTGTGTGTGTATGGATGTGTGTGCACTGCCATGCTAATTCACTGTTCTTTCAGTCCCTACCGAAAACGTTGCACTTGTTACTAAGAGTGCTTTAGTGATAGAAGGAGTAAGCCGTGCACGCAATAATCTCCTGAATGGAGACATTCACCATTATGACTGGGATTCCGGCTACACCTGTCATCAGCTGGGATCAGGGTCCATATGTGTCCAACTTGGCCAGCCTTATTGGCTTTCATCATGCAAGTGAGTCTAATGGTGTTTATGTATTCTTATGTCCACATCTGGCCTTGAGTAGAGTTTCCTTAAGCTTCATGCTTTTTTGAGGATTAGCTATGGTCTAGCCTGCTTATCCTTAAGGGGACCGTCCCTGAGAGAGGGGGGAGGAGGGGGTTAAATTGAGTTAGTTAGCGTATAGTATAGGTACATGGATGAGGAAACTACCAAACGAGTATTAACCGCCTGCTATGGCTCGTTGTCTTGCAGCCGGCGTGCGAGTCCCTCAGCACCCGAGAGGTACGTCGCTATTGAGCGCCCAGGTACACCTATGTGGACTTTTGCTTGCGGCAATCGTGCATAAGGCATTTAATTATGACATTGCGCATAGATATGAGTTCGTGAATGTTCAAGGAACACTTTTTACCAATATCAGGAAAAAATTATATCACCGTGATTTATGACGAAATATTTTGTGAAATATATCTAAAAAAAAATGTATGTTTTGTGTCCTTTTACACACGAAATATGCTTTGATCGAGACTCCCTGGTAATATGTTTTAGTTTACGTGGTAATATATACGTATATCACATACGAAGCACTAATGTTTAAAAAGCCTTATAAGGAAGGATTGAAATATTTCCGTTACATTTCGCTCAACGGTCGGTACATCACAGCAGGGGCAATTTGAATTGATTTGAAATTGGTAGTTACCGTTGTAAAGACCAATTCAATACGAATGTTACCTAAATGTCGGATTTTTAAACTTCGGATGTATAAGCGAGATACAGATTATTTCATGTTGAAGATGATAGTACTCAGTAATACCTGCTCTGAAATAAAAACTATATGGAATTTTGAGCTCGGTTGTATGCGTAGTCTTCGTCTGGCGTTCAAAAAGCTATCCCATCCGTTTCGTGCGTTCCCGATAAAAATGAATATGTTTAGACGTTACCGTAAGTCTTAGGCACCATAAATTGGCAAATATCCCACAACACATAGGCGTCTGCATGATTTTATGCACTTCTTAGTAAAGATAATGGGTGCAAATGGCTAATCATAAACTTTACACTTGTTCTCCCTTGCAATCTGCTAATATTGACAATTATCAAAGAAAATGGGTATGAGAGGGATAACTAATAAATTTTATTATTTAGATATGAAAGTCAATGTAGGCCTACTAAATGATGATGATTAATCTTTTTAACTTTATGTGCGTGCGTTCACGTACATATGATCCTCCTCGAAAATTATAAACACCCAGTGACCATCTCCCCCTCCCCCCCCCTGTGTGAGGCATGGGGAATATTCAACGACTTTCGTAAGTTCTCGAATTCAATGTACTAAATTCATATGCTTTTGAAATTCTCAAAATTGAACCACCATGTTGTATTCATGCCAGGACTTTATAATTAGAATGATTTTGTACTAATATTGCCATCCACAGTTCCCCATTTCTTCAAAAAAAAAAAAAAAAAAAAAAAAAAAAAAAAAAAAAATGGAAAATAAAAAAAATATTTTTTTTAAAAAAGGTTTTTATCTGGTTTAGATTAGTTGTCTCTATGGTAAAATGCATTTATTAAGCTTTTCACACGAAAATATCAACTTTAATGAACAACGAAAAAAAAAAAAAAAAAAAAAGTGACATACCTTTACAGAATAGCGTCCCTATTGAACATGAAAATTCCTATTGACTTGGTAATCATTGCATTGCAAAGTACACTAAATAAGCGTTTTTTTGATATATAATATCATTAGATTCAGAGAAAAATAACAGAGATAACGAACTTTGGCAAGGTGCCAAATACAAAACGCCGTAGCTCGGCTATTTTTTTATGACTCTTCGGTACTTCCCAACTCACGTAATTTTCATGCGATCCAAATGCAGTTTGTTGCTTTCACTAGAGCCTCGGCGTCCCATAGCCATGTAAAAGGCCGATTTTTGAATTTTTGCCTTAATCAAAAAATAATAATATTTTAATGCTGAAAAACGCATTCAAAAATAGTTCTCTATGTCAAGCTGTCCCCCGCAAAAAAAAAAAGGAAATTCAAAATTCGGCCTTTTACATGGCTATAGGCTAGAGTTGATCTAACACTAGCATTTTTGGGGGAATATTCTGTAAAGAGCTC